CGTTTTAATTCTGTCAGAATTTGCACAAGTTTAGGTAAAAATCCCTCTTAAAACAAAAAATTAATATCCAGAGCACCATTTGAGAAGCTCCGATAAAGATTCTCAGAAGCTTTTTTCTGTCGTTCCTTTTCAAGCTTCGGAAAACTCTGGATTTTATGCAAAGTCCTCAGCAGAGCATTGCTTGTTCAAAACAAAACATGAGAATGCATTGTGATCGATATCGAGAAACTATGGGTGAGGCTTTCTTCTTCTTTGATAGAGTACTTGTTAGAACTTTCGAGAATGTCTTTCCCTAACATACTCCAAACAAGAAAATGTTCTTTTCGCAACGATAAATTAAGAGATCTTTTTTTGGTTTTCTATGGAAAAAACAGGAGTTTTCGAGAATTGAATATAATTCGAAACGTTTTTTTAATTTTCATATCTAGGAGTATCGTATTCGTACCACAGTTACGAGTAAGTCATAAGGGATGAAGATTACAATGCAACGATAAGTAACCAATGATTAAGCTGAGGGTGCGGGTGTGAGTGTGGGGTGGGGTGTGGATGTGGGTGGGTGTGGAGTGTGGGTGTGGGTGTGGAGTGTGGGTGGAGGTGTGGGTGTGGTTATTGTTTTTTTAAACCCGTACCCACACTCACACCCTGATTTGTGATATATTTTATTCCTTTCAATATTTGATTTTGATCATTTATTATACAAAATATCAATAATTAATGATTGATTGTATTTAATTAATTTTGAATATTTTTGAAATAATTGAATTTAACATTAATATCTAATAATTTTAACTGATAAATTTTATCTTTAAAATATTTGAATTCTTTTCTTTTTACTATCTAATTATTTTATTTGTAGATCTGATCAATTGAATTCACATTCAAAAAATCAACAGATATTCTAGTTTCTGAATAAAATAAATTAGTATTTTTTTTTCAATATTGATTTTCATACTATATAACCATCTAAAATTAATATCGTGTTGTTTTTTAATAGAAGTTTATTTATGAAATTTGAATATTGAAATTTTATTTGACATTGATTTTTAATATTTCAGCATCGGAGATGTGTACTATGCATAAAATAAAATTAGGTAGAAGCAACACGAAGGAAAACCTCTGCCCTAAAGTCTTGTATGACCAGACGTCTAGCAACTTCGTGTCTGATTTTAGGACCAAAGAAAATTTTTTTCATATTTGTTATGCTATAATATTTCTTGAAAGAAATGTTTCATTTTTTGAGCAGTGATCTGCATACAACAATATAAAGTTGAAAAATACCATATTATTTTTTAGTTAAATTTGCGTAAGTTTAAGTTGAAGCTCAAGTTAAATATTATGATCATCATAAATAAATTTACTAAGTTTTGAATTCGGTTGATTTATTATGAGGAAAATCTTAAAACAACATTGACTACCAATGCAATTTATAATTTTAACAAATGAATATGAAAATGACATAATAAAACAAACAGTATTCATCTACTTATTCGAGATAATAACACTCGAATCAATCGAAGACTTGTTTTATTTTTGACTATAAATCCAATAGAAATTCAATTGTAACATTGATACAAAAATTTGTATAAAATTATGGTCAATTGGAAATTGAAAATCAAACGTCTAATTCAAATGATTATTTAAATCTCGAACCAATTTTACTTGTCCAATCATAATAACTCATCAGCACATTTTTTCTTTTTTTTTCTAATAAATCGATATACAGTGTGGGTTTGAGTATACGTATGTAAATATGAATTTAGGTGTATCTGTAGAAAAGATCACAACCCATACACAGACAGACAGACAGACAGACAGACAGACAGACACACGCCTACCTGCACAATCAACATAAATAGAAGTCCTAATCACGTTTAACACTTTGAATATTTCAATACGAGGGGTTCGCAAGAAATTAAAGCTATCCTGGCCTAACTTTTTTTTAAAGTTATAAACAGTCTTAATCGCTCTAGTCCTTTTAATCCCATTAGGCCCTTCAATTCCTTTAGCAGGTCTATTCTTTTGTTTCAATTGACTTCTCACGTTGTCTTCTTAAGATGATAATATGATCTGTCTTATGTGAAATTTTTACTTGATTTTAGCAGTAGTCAATAAATGGAGATCAAGTTTTTTATTAGATCGTGAAAGAACGAGGGTGTGGGTCTGGATCTATGAATGTAGATGTGCGCATCTGTGAGAGAAGAGATACCCTCACATCCACTTACACCCCAAAATTAAACCAGCATAAAAATTAAAGTTCCCAAAATAATAACTTGTAATTTTTTTTTGAAATTGAGATCGAGCTAACTTCTCCTTGAAAGTCTATGAGAACGAACGCTCTATGCCACCATAATCAATTCATTGAACTCTACAAATTAGCATAAACCAGATTGAAAACGGAAACTCAGATTTCTGGATCTTTCCGCAGAAGTACTGGGGATGCGCGAATCCTGAAGTGTGGGCGTGGGTGGGTGTGGGGTATGGGTGTGTGAGGTGGAGGTATGTTCGGATTTCCGAAAAAGAAAATTACAGAAATTTCAGAAGCTTCCATCAACTCGATAACTACATAGCAAAGCAAATGATCATATTTTAGAAATATTGGAAAGTTTAGAAATTTTAGAATTTTCTGTAATTTCGGAAATTTCGCTACGTATAGAATTTTGGAAATTTCAGAAATTTCGGAAGTTATATAATTTTGGAAAGTACCAAACAATTTAGAACACAAGTGCTTGAAATTTCCAAAACTTCCGAAATTTCCTTTTTCGGAAGTCTGAACACTGCTGGTGAGGTGTGGGTGTGTGGGTGTGGGTGTGGGTGTGGATGTGGGGTGAGGAGTGTGAGTGTAGGTGTGAAGAAAGAATGAACCAATATCCACACTCCATCCGCACCCCACACCGCCATACACACCCACACCCCACATCCACCCACGCCCCACCCACACCCTATTTGATTCATGAAAATTTGGTTGTCGATAGAAGATAATCTTGTTTCGAAATGATTTTATTGTTCAATGATTTCAGCAAAATTGTTTTGAAAACGTGAAAATCATATCATTTTTCAATAGTCATAAATTTTGATCAATATTGAACTTTTGTACGCGATGATTTCCAGTATCATTCACGTAGAGATTGCCCTCTCGGTCAAAGGACAAACCCATCGGATTTGACAGTTGATTTGATAGACTTCCTTGACCATATCCGCCAACGATGACACTTCCCTGTGTGGCTCCTGGAGACCAACGTACTATTCGATAATTTGATTCATCAGCTACATAGATGTTACCTGACTGATCCACGACAATTCCACGAGGATTTGATAACTGTGTAAAACTATTTCCTTGCCCTCGACCACCAGCCACGACAATACCACATCTCGAACCTTCTATCCACTTCATTACACGATGATTATAGTAATCGGACGTATATATTAAATGAGCTTGATCGACGAATACGCTTATCGGATAATTCAACTGATCAAGACGATTTCCTGCTCCATTTCCACCTGCAACTATTGTTCCTTGATTTTCTCCTATTCGATATCGTCTGACTTCATGTTTGTCCCAATCAGAAACATAGAGAAATCCGTTGTCGTCCATTGCCAAGCCATAACATCGAATGTTGGAGATGATTGTTTCTCCATTCGTACCATTTGAACGAGGCCATCGAACTATTCTTTTATTGCCAAAATCAGAAATGATGAAACTATCACTTTGTCTATCAATGATGATATTCGTCGGATAACTCAACTGATCAAAATCATTTTCTGGTCCATTTCCACCGGCCACAATTCGACCAATCGTTGCACCACATTTCCATTCCACAATTCGATGATTACTGTACTCAGCTATGTAAATATTTCGATTATGATCCAAATCCAAAGCCCATGGATTGTATAGTTGATGCAATCCACTACCTGCTCCATTTCCTCCAGCCACAGTTACACCATTCTGTATCCATTTCGAATTTGTACTGAGTGTTACACGGGGTAGTAATGCCACTGAAACAAAACACAATTTCGCTCATCCATATTGGATCAATGTCCGTCAGTAAAAACCAATATTCTTAGTACAGAACTTTGATCACGAGAGAAAAGAAAAAGAAAATGTTTTCTAGGTGGTCAAATCGGACGATTTCTCAAAGCTAGTCCCATTGTTTCGGTATTTCAAATGAAGGAAAGTCTGAGACTTCGTATTCAACGATGACGAACATTCGAATCTTTGAATTTACACGTGAATTTTCTCTTTATCACACTATCATCGAAATAATTTTTCTTTTAAACAATATTTAATAGCATAGTATGGTGACTAATTACCATAATCAGTAAAGAAAGTCTCATCTTTAACGATTTTTTTAACAGATAATTGTTAAAAATAGTCATAGATGATGGAAATGTTTATTGAGTTTGAATTACAATCGATCTGCCACTCTGAACAATTTCCAGATGATGTTCTTTTGAAACCCATCCAATCAAACATTTCGCTTCAAGTATTATTCAAAGAAAGTCAATTAAATATCATCACTACTTCTCAAAAACTGCAATGCAAGTTAAAAACTATTTTTGTGATCTCAATGATGAAATGAAAAATAATTTTGTTAGAACAAACAGTGAACATTTTAAGATAGCCTGTTAGTGCAGCCACTTTTGGGTTGAAATATGAAACTCACATGGTTCCTTAGCTAGCGTCCTTATACTAATAAAAAATAGAGGAAATATCTAGTCAAGATTTTTTTCAATTTTGTTTTCATCATGACTATTCACTCGTTATTTTTCATTTTCGCAATTTTTTTCTTAATTTAACATTTTTATGATTACAAGCGTTGAAGTAAATGGCAAATAAAACAGTTATACATATTCATTATTTGATTCCGATTATTTTTGTCCAAAACATATGTGAGTGCCACAATATAATTCGTGGCGGTTTTTTCAGTTCGATTTTCATCAAGCCAATCAGGTGAATATTTGGAGTATGGAAAGATAGCTGAGAGAAAAATTGCTAATTTTCGATGTATATTCAAAATTTCACAGCTGCCATAAAAGTTTTGAAATACTTGACACGAATTTTCATTTTTGAAAAAGTCAAAATCAATGACTCATTCCGACAGAAAAAGTTCACACCAATTTGTTAATAGAATTCACTTCGTTCGTATTGATCGAACATTAATCGAAAGTGATGAGAATCGAACTTCGAGTTTCTCTATGTGCTTGTTCAAGGAAAATGTCTATTGCTTTCCTATTATTGTATTCAACGTATCATCACTTTTGAAAGAAAAAGAATTCCTCTTTTTTTTCGTTCGTCTATCGAAAGTGTTTATTCAATAATATTCAACAGATATCCATCGTTCGAAATGGAAGCATTGTTTTAACCTAATGAATGTTAACTCCTGAGTTATATTATTGTTGAGATCAACCTAGAAGCACTTGAAAATCTATGATGATCTTGTAACTTTCCTCTGCTCATTCTAACTCAACTTATTCTTTGTAGGATACTAATGAATTTGAATTTATTCAGTCGGAACGAAATTATTTTTCTTCTTGTTTTATGCACATGAAGAAACTAGAATGTAGGGTGTGGATGTGGGTGTCCCTTCTACTTATATTCAGAACCACACTCCACTCACACCCGGCAGCATCTACGTATGTCTGTACCGAAGGGAACCTCTCGTCTCCAACTTTCAATCTTGAAGACTTCAGGATTCTCAGATAACATTATATTAAAGTAGACAAACGAATGATGTCGATGACTGACCGTAGAATTTTCATGATTTTTTCAAGTTTTTTGAGCAATAGTATCGCAAAGCGAAGCTGATTTTTGGAATAGTTTTGTTGATCTAATCGAAAACCGATGATCATGCAATTCTCTTTTTTCCTAAGTTTCAAAGAAGCCGAACATTGACTAGTTGGATTTGTTAATTGATAAAAATTAGTAAGATTTCTCAAGATTTCTCACTATTTCTTAATATGACAATGTTTTTTTTTTCATTTCCTATTAGAATCGACCAATATGATGAAAAGGATTTGCCGGACTGTTTTTCGATGAGTCTATTCTTTTGCATTATGTTCTGTCTTATTTAATCTAAAGTCAAATCATTTCATATCAGGCACCTCGATAGAGTTTAGACTAAAAGAAAAACTTTACGCTAAGCATTTTGTCTCAGTAAAGTTTCATTATGAATTGTGTCGCATTAGAAATGCTACGATCAGATGTAATATCAATATTTGAGATAATTAGGAAACTGATAATCTTTCGAAGTAGTAAATAACTCCATTGACTTGTTCCATTCATAATATCAATAGTAGCTAAAATAAGTTGTACATAAACTTGTTTCTGTATTTGATTTTGATTAAAAAATGAAAAGATTTTCTTCTTCTTTAATGAGCAAAACTTGATAGATCATTTATTTAATGTTATTAAATAATGTAAAGGCAATTCCAATATCGACGCTATAGATCCATAGAGATTTTTTAAAAGTTCCCGAAAAATATACAATGCAATACTCTGTCGAAATATTTGAAATTTTTCTCAAGTAGTTTTAAAGATTCTCACATATTCAACATGAACTATTTCATTTGTCTTAGAAGAATTTCTATTTACATATGTTCATCGCTTGCTTATGAAAATTCAATAGGAAAAAGATCATAACAAAAAATATTCTATTTTTATAGGATTTGATTTTCTTTATCGATTCTAATTAGAAATTCAACTTGAAGTATCTTCCATCGACATCATAGAAAAGATTTATTTGTTTTATCCATTCTATAAACACTCAAGAGCAGTATATGTGCAGAATACATAGTTTATACAACGATTCAAATCAAAAGTAAATAAAAATATTAGAAGAAAAACGTTATCTTCTCCTTTCACTTGAAATCGATTGAAAACTGAGAAAGTATGAAACTATTTTCGAATGTTTTATCGTTCAATATGTAAATGCTCTTCATCTTGATTAAATAACCGGAGGAGCTAAATGATCTTATTTGCTTGATATTTATTGAATATTTTCAAAGATTTGTGATATGTTTTTGTCGTATGTTCCATATGATGGAATTATAATGTCTTTTGTACGGTTAATCCAAATACAACTTAAAATAAATCAGTTGGTCATTGAATAAACTTTTTTTTCAATGAACTTCTTATCAAAACATTATTGTATCGCAAGAGCTGTTACAAATACTTCTGAACGTCGTATAATTCTTTGGTGGTTCATTTTTTTGCAATCCGATCTATTCTAAAAGCATATTTCTTTCTTCGCATTTGCCTACATCTAACTTCGTAATATGAAT